AACGCAGGACCCCAGTTGTGCCCCGAATTTCCGTTGCTAAGTGAGACATTTGCTAAGTGAATTTTGCCCCATTTTACGACCTTTCATGCCACGGTTGCTAAGGGAATCCCTGCAGTTGTGACATTAGGAACCCTGTTGTTAAGCGAGTCAAAACCCCCATTGGCTTTGCTGGTCAGAAGGCCGCAAAAGGGGATCGCTGTGACCGTCATAAAGGTGAGGCAGTTGCAACCTCCGAATTTTGATCATGTGACCACGGGGAGGCTGCAACGGTCGTCAGGGTGAAAAACGGGCATAAGTGACTTTTTTCAGTGCCGTTGTAACGCCAAACGGTTACTAAATGAACGGTTGTAAGTACTTCCAGGTCTGGGCAAAGCCCCATCTCAGGCTGCCCGCCCATTGGCTCTCCCTTTCAGCCGCCTTTGGTGCCCACCGTAGCTCCGTCTCGCCAGCCTCCTCCAGCCTACCTGCAGGGCACACTTGGGTGGGGGCTGCCCTGGTCCTTGGCAGGCAGCTGGCCAGGGGGCTTCAGATCATGATGCCCCTTTGAGCCCCGACTTCCCAAGGTTGGGTCTCCTAGACCAGGCGTCTGTCGGAGGCCATCTGAAGGAGGATGCCCATGTGCACTAAAGGCACTCATTCAGAATGGAATGGAATGGAATGGAATGGAAAATATGGAATGGAATGGAATGGAATGGAATGGAATGGAAAATATGGAATGGAATGGAATGCAATAGAATAGAATAGAATAGAATAGAATAGAATAGAATAGAATAGAATAGAATAGAATACAAAATATGGAATGGAATAGAATGGAATGGAATGGAATAGAATAGAAAATAGGGAATAGAATATAACAGAATAGAATAGAATAGAATAGAATAGAATAGAATAGAATAGAACAGAACAGAACAGAACAGAACAGAACAGAATAGAATAGAATAGAATAGAATAGAATAGAATAATGGAATGTAGAAGAATAGAATAGAATAGAACAGAACAGAACAGAATAGAATAGAATAGAATAGAATAATGGAATGTAGAAGAATAGAATAGAGTAGAATAGAATAGAATAGAATAGAATAGAATAGAATAGAATAGAATAGAATAATGGAATGTAGAAGAATAGAATAGAATAGAACAGAACAGAACAGAACAGAATAGAATAGAATAGAATAGAATAGAATAGAATAGAATAGAATAGAAACTGGAAAGGACCTTGGAGGTCTTCTAGTCCAGCCCACTGCTCAAGCAGGAGAACCCATCTTGTCTCAGGTGAATGTCTAGTCTCTTTTTAAAAACCTCCAGTGATGGAGCGCCCATGATTTCTGGTGGCAAGCTGTTCCACTGGTTAATTGTCCTCACTGTCAGGAAGTTTCTCCTTAATTCCAGGTTGCTTCTCTCTTTGATCAGTTTCCTTCCATTGTTTCTCATCCTTCCCTCTGGTGCTCTGGTGAATAATTTAACCCCCCCTTCTTTGTGGCAGCCCCACAGATACTGGAACGCTGCTATCATGTCTCCCCTATTTCTTCTTTTCTTTAGACCAGCCAGACCCGAGTCCCGCAGCCGTTCTTCGTATGTTTTAGTGACTTTTGAAGTTACAACGGGGGCCAGAAATGGTCCTGCGCATTCTTACTTACACAGCGTTTGGCATTGCATAACTCCCCACACCCCCCTCGCTTGTCACCCCCTGGAAGCCTCTGCTCCCCCCCCCTCCCAGGAGGCACCCAGTGAGATCCCACTTTGCTCGGCTCTTCGCAGCCTTCGCTCAAAAGTGTTTGGCAATTAAGGGAAGCTGTGCAGGAGCCGAGCAGAGGCCAGCCTACAAGTCCTGCCCTGCCCATTGCCGCTCACACTTAGCTGGTTGAATTGGTTGAATTGGGGTCCATGTGGCTGAGCCGAGGCGCAGGAAAGCTCAGCTCCGGGGGCTGGGTGAAGGGGGGCCCCTTTCCGTAGAAGCTGGGGGGCTGTGCTGAAGGGCAGAAGACGGGCGAGGAGCTGCTGGCTGGACCGTCTGCAATGGCTCTGAGCATCGGACGGAGGTGCCAACTTTGGGTTGGGAAGCCGAAATGGATGGTCCTGTTGCCAGCCCCAGGGCCTGCTGGTCCGCTCTCAGGCGGAAGGAGGAGGCCAGGATGGACCTGCTCTGCTTTCTCCCACGGGAACGCCTCCTCCCCCTGCCCCTTCTTCCTTCTTCCTCCTCCTCCTCCTCTCTCCCTCCTTCTCCTTTCCCTTCCTCTTCCTCCTCCCTCTCTCCTTCTCCTTCCCCTTCCTCCTCCTCCTCTCTCCCTCCCCTTCCCCTCCTCTCCCTCCTCCAGTATCATCATCATCATCATCATCACTGTTACTAGTCCACAGTAACCTCCTTCTCCCTCTCCCTGTGCCCATCTCCCTCAACTGCCTGGGCCAGATGTCACAGAACGGCCTATGCCACCCACAGTGAACCGTGTTTAAAACTTGTCAGCTTTTGCCTGTGGTGCCCATGTGGTTACCATGCTAACACAGCTACTTTCGCCCCTTCAGTTCGAGTGGCGTATTTCCTGAGCTGCGTAGAACGTGTTTCTCCAGGTTGTCTTAGAGCAGTGGTTCTCAACCTGTGGGTCGGGACCCCATTTGGGGTCGAATGACCATTTCACGGGGGTCGCCAAACCATGCTGTCCGCCATTTTTTTCCCTTTTCCCTAGCTGTCCTATTCCCTCTTATTGGTGGCCACACCCACTTGGGGGTCACCACAACATGGGAAACTGTATTATGGGGTCACGGCATTAGAAAGGTTGAGAACCACTGGCTTAGAGCCCCTGGCAGGTCCCGGTTGGTGGCTGCGTTTGGACAATACTCTAAAAAACGGCTTAAAACGAAATTTGTTTCTTGTGGCGCTCGTCCATTTTGGACTCTTTACAGTTCAGTAGTTGACGAAAATCGGCCGCAGTGACTTTATTAAGCCTGACATCCCCGTGAATGTTGACTGAGAGCATAAATGGCTCTGTGGCTGCTGGAGTTGCTGAAACACCTGCCTGGCACACCCAAACTGTGCAGTTTTATTGCATCGTTGTGAACCAAAGCGGGGAGGGGGCAGAGGTACTGTGTGAAGAAACACTTTTAAACCTGTTGTTATATTGCTAGAGAAGAGCGAGCTGGATGGTTTGAGACGTTTACGTATTCACTGGATATAACTTTGAGTATAAATTGAATTAATAATACATGAACACAAATGTAATCCGTACGCAGTTTGTTACCCACACAAACAACACTTCTCTCCCTACCTCTTCCTTTTCTCCACACATTTTTTTGGGTGGAGGCTGGGGTCGTCTTTTACTGAAATAAGTAGCCAGTCGAGGATTAAAGAAGAAATAAATAATACCAAGGAGAGTTGACAAAGGCCAGGTATTTGTATCCAGCCCAGCAGCTTGAGCCAGGCAGATTTATTCCTGGGATGTAATTTCAGTGGGGTTGATGGCTGAGCAAGCGGGCGCATGAAAAGCAGCCTCTCCAGGCGGGCACCGTGCCGACCGGGGCGCTTCGCATGTGCTTGGAGTTACCCAGAGGGGCTCCTGGGCACGGTGGAGGCTGGCCTGCTTTTAAGCCTAAGGAGGGGTTCTGGGCAGCTAAAGTTGGTTAAGTAAGCTACCATTGTGCTGAGCTACAAACCATGGCTTAGACAGAGGGGTCCTTGGTGCTCTCTGAGCTTGGCTGTTTTCTTGCAACCTTTCGTGACCCAAACTAGGTAGCACTAGAGGTCACAGCCCTCATTTGGGTCGTGAGGTGCCTGCAAGAAAAGCGCCAAGCTCAGGGGGCAGCAGGGACCCCTCGCGTCAACCCGGAATTGCAGATATTCTCCTTTCTTAGGAATGGCTGGGTGGCCATGGCAAGCCCCAGGGAGACCGAGTTTGGCCTGGCGGTGAGGGTCACAATACTAGAGGGAGGGTCAAAGGGTTTTCCTTGAGCTCCTGGCGGGGGGGGGGGGACCTACCAGGCTGTAAATCTAACCGAGAAGCCAACATGCAACATTACTCATACAACAAAGGTAGTTGGGTGTAAAAAAAAAAGCTGGCTTGTTCTTTCTCGGCAAGCCTGACTAGCTTGCAAAAGGAGACCCTGACCCATCCCTCTGAGCAATAAAAGGGCTCTGGAGTTGGAGGTTTCAGAACCAAGGAGGGTAGGCGGTAGGGATGCCATGGGCGATGGCACAGGGATATAGAATAATACGGTTGGATGGGACCTCGGAAGTCTTCTAGTCCAACCCCAAACCGGACCAGACCTGTGGCTGCCCAAGGACCCCGTTAAGCCCTCAGCAGATGCTCAGGTGAAAGAGGTCCTCCCTGCAATGGGGGCGGGGCCAAGCGGTGTGGGACCTCTTGCCATTGGTTCAGGAAAGAGAGTCCCAGAAGCCCCTCAGCAGGACTCGTTGCCAGCTTCAAGGCCCTGGGAGGATGGACCTAGAGCAGCGGTTCTCAACCTTTCTAATGCCGCAACCCCATAATACAGTTCCCCATGTTGTGGTGACCCCCAACCACTTATACATCACTGGGTGCCAGGGGCGTGGCCAAAGAAAAGGAGTAAAAATTTGGTGGACAGCCTTGTTTGGCGACCCCCGTGAAATGGTCGTTCGACCCCAAATGGGGTCCCGACCCACAGGTGGAGAACCACTGACCTAGAGGGTCTTTGGGGCAGGAGAAAAGGAAGGGGTTGCTGGCTGGACCCCAGACCATTTTTCCCTTTGGAGTGGGGCTTTGGGACATCTGAAAAGTTTTTTTTGGGGGGAGGTCATTGACCACTATTAAACAATCTCTCTCTCTCTCTCTCTCTCTCTCTCTCTCTCTCTCTCTCTCTCTCTCTCCCCCCCCTCTCTCTCTCCCTCCGTCCTTCCCTCCCATTCTCTGGGCTTGGAATGCCCGTGTTATGTGTTCCCTTCTCCTGGGATGGGACCCCGTGACCCCGGGCTCCCTGCCACTACCCCCACCCCCGCTCTCTCTCCGCCGGCCCCTCTGCCCGCCGGTGTGCAGCCCCCTCCCCTCCCGCCGCCCTGCCCTCTGCCCCCGCCGGCAGGTCCCCCGGGCCAGGGGCTGATGTGCGCCCGCTAGCCGCCCTGCCCCTTCCCCGCGCTTTCCCCCTCGCCCGTTCTCACGCGCGCGCACAGGCACGCGTCTCCGGCGCACAGAGCATGCCTCGCAGTCCAGCCAGCGGCAAACATGAGTCTCCGGAGCAGCAGCAGCAACAGCGGCGGCGGCGGCAGCAGCGGCGGCGGCAGCAGCAGGAGGACGAGGAGGAGGAGGAGGACGAGGAGGAGGAAGAGGAGGAGGAGGAAGAGGAAGAGGAGGAGGAGGAGGAAGAAGAGGAAGAAGAGCAGTCTCCGCATCGCTGCCAGCAGCAGCAGCCGCCGCCGTCCGGCGTGGTGAACGGCGATCCCGGGGAGAGCGCGGAAGGCAGCCTCCGGGAGGAGACCCTGTATGATACCATCACGCCTCCCGCCGCCGCCCCCGCCGCCCCCGGCCCTTGCTCCTCCGAGACGCCGGCCTCTCCCCCGCCAGGGCGGATGGACGAGCCCGCGCCCAATGCCCTGGTCGTGCGCATCGGCATCCCGGACCTCCAGCAAACGGTGAGTCGGGCGTGCAGCACCGCGGACAGCGGCGGGCCGCGCCTGGGGCGCTGCGCCCGGGCCGAGTTGCGCGCCCCGCAGCGCCCCAGAAGAGCCGGTGGGCGCAAGTCCCCTGCCCCGGGGGAGGGAGGGGGCGACCGGCCGCAGCCCCCCCCCCCAGCTCGGCTGTCTGTGGAATGGCTGCTGGCTAAACTTTTACGCAATTGCAGTCCTGGGGTGGGGGGAAGGGGCGCAGCAGCCCCCCCCCCGGGATTCCCGCCTTCCTCCCTCAACTCTGCAGAGGCTGGGATGGTCCTGAATGCGGGCAGAGGAAGCCCCTCCCGCCCCCAGAGATGGGAAGCATGGGGGGAGCATCCTGCATCAGCTGCCCTAGCCACAAATGGGGGGGCTTATCCACGGAGATGTCCCCCCACCAAAAAAAACCCCTTGCTGCTTGCTGAGGGTTTTGGTAGCGACGGGCAGGCTAGAGCAGTCGAGGTGGGAGGGGAGAGCCCAACAGGCTGAAGCATGGGGGTGCCTAAGGACCCCCGGGGGTCTTTCCCCAAAGGAGGGGGCAGGCTGGTTGTTGAAGCTGGAGAGGAGTCCGAGAAGGGGCAGCTGTGTCCCTTTGACCCAGGCTCCCACAAAACTGGACATGCTGGCCAAGAGCGATGGGTTTTGTAATCTGGATTGGCCTAGAATTTGGAGAGAGGTTTTGTGGTTCCCATTATAAGGTCTGAGGGTTGCATCGGGGGCCACGGAGGGCCTTTGGGAGGCTTGGAAGAGGCCCCTGCTGTGTGAGGCCATCGCTCTGGCTTCCTCAGGGCCTGGTGGAGTTCCATCTCAGGGGGGCTGGCCCTCTAGGGTGGAAGCAGAGCTCCGGGGGAGGTGGGGGGGGCTTCAACTTCGAGGCAGGAAGCAGGGAGGGTTCGAGATGTGGTCTCTGGGGCCTCTTCTGAAGTTGGAGCCCCAGTTCTGTGGGCCAACGCTGTTCACAGGCTGTGTGTGTGTGTGTGTGTGTGTGTGCGCGCTTGCCACCAGCCCAGCAAATGCTGGGGGCTGGAATGCAGAGACCCTTAGAAGGGCCCAGGAACCTGCGCTGGAGGAGAGACTTGCTTGATGGGACGGGGAGAGTAAAATCTTGAAGCCCCCAGGCTGGGTGGGGGCCCAATTGCCTGGGCTCCCTGCTGGTTTTGATTGGGGAGGAGAGCCCTGCCCTTCCAGCCTCCTGGGGGCTGTGCGAGGGTCTCTTCCAGGGCAGGAGCAGCCTCGCAGCCCCTCCGCCTTCCCAGCCTCCCGGCAGCAGCCCTGCCCGATGCGGGCAGTAGGCAGAGAGCAGAGCCCGGCCAGGGCTGCCAGGGGCTCCCTTCGGCCCACCTCCGTCTTCCTGCGCCTCCCTCCCCTGCCTATCCCCAGCTCCCCCGTCAGCTGCCTGGGCTGAGAAGCTGAATGCCAGAGGAGAAAATCCAGAGGGGTGGGCAACGTGGCCGGGGTCTGCAGGGCTGGGGGCCGGGGTCTCGCTTCCCAGCTGCTCCACCTGGATGGGTGAATTGTGGGGTGCAGGCAGGAATCCCACCCTGCCGCCGAGTCCCTGGACCTCTGCGGTCGGTCGTGATGAGGCCTTTTCGTTCGTGGGAGGTTTGGCAAAGTCTCAGCATGCTGATTTTTGCCACGGGGAAAACTCCCTGCTCGCCCTGCCAGGTCGCTAGATAGAGGGACGTTTTGGCTCCGTCCCCGTTGGGGGGGGGAAGGAGGGGGGGTTGGGCAGAGGCAGCTTCTCACTGTCCTGGTGCAGAGCTTTTGGAGAAGAAGCGAGAGGGGAGTGAGATGTCAAAGTACCCTCCCCAGGGAAGTTTTTGGGGTCCTATGTTTCTACTGCTTTGCCCAAAGAAAACCCTGCAAGGTAGGCCAGGATCCCCTCTGGCACCGCTTGGATGTTCTTCCTGGACTTTGCCCGTAAACCCACAGTCAGAGGGGCTGTGGGCCGGGGCAGCCGACTGCAGGACAGGAGATGGGGAGATCTGGGGAGATGGGCTGAGCATCTGAACAGGGTGGGGGTCCTCTTAGGCCGGCCCAGCCACCTCTCTCCCGAGCCAAGGGGCTCAGCCCTCCTGCCGATTCCTCGGGGGAGCAGACGTGGGGAGCCTGCTTGCACTGAGTGGCTGCCCAGCCTGGGGGGAGCACTACCCCTCAGTGGGGAAGAAGGCCTGCAAACCCCAAAGGGAGAGAGAGGGACCTGACTGGGGAGGGGGCTGGAGGACCCCAGGATTGGATTTCAGGGGTCCTGAAGGCCAGGAGCTCCCCCTCTCTGCTCAGGGCAGGGCAGCCCTAAGGGAGGGGAAGGCACCCATCCCCACCTGGGGCTCCACCCTTAGGCCGCTGCCCATCGTCAGAAAGTTCCTCTAACACCCAGCTGGGCCTGGGGGGGTCTCCTTCTTCTGGGGCGTTCCCAGGTGCCCTGCCTGGCCCAGGAGCAGCAGAGGGGAGCTCTGGACCTTCTTCTGGGTGTCGTCCCTGCAGACGAGGGCCTGTAAGTCCCGCTCGGTCTCCTCTGAAGAGGCCGGCCCCTTCCATTCTCTTCCTGGCACCCCTCGCTCTTCTCCGGACAATTCCAGGACCCCCGGTGGTCCTTCCGAGGTGGGGGGGAGAGGGGGGAATTTGGGAGAGAAGGGAGCCTCCCTTTAGAGCTGCCCATCAGAGAGGCTGTTGCCTCTGGACCCATCTTTCCTTCCTTCCTTCCTCCCTTTTTCTGCAAGCTCAGAATTCTGCAGGCGGTCCAGGCTTTTTGCATTCCTTTTGGTTTCTCTCCGCCCAGCTGGTGGGACCCACCTCACCACAGTGCAAAGGAGCACCAGCGGATGTTCTGCCTCCCTGCTCTTCCTTTCCTTTAATCAGGCTTTCTCCTGTGTGGCATAGAAGCAGGCTGAACCAATAATAAATTTAAATCAGAGGAGCACTGCTTCAAGCAGCTTGCTGTCATCGTGGCCATGACAGCACAGCCGAGCCTCCCTAGGTAGAGGCAGGCCACCTGATGTGGGTGGGTGGGGGAGGAGGAGCGGGTAGGACCCTTTCCTTTCAGTCTGTTTGTGCTTCCTTTAGAACTATTAAACCGCCCCTGTTGGATGTCGGTCTGATTGGTCCTTCTTGGACCGATCTTGGCAGAGCGGGGGAGGGAGCAGGCCTTCCTGCCAGCTGCATTCGGTAGCCTCAAAGCCTTAAGAGAGGAGAGGGTCTTGGGGTGGGGGCAGGTCTCAAGGTAATGGCAAATGTCGCCCTGCGAGGGAGTCCTATCATTTATCCATGTATTTATCTGTCTATTCAGTTGTGCAGAAAGTGCGTATCCCTGGGCAATCCACAAACAATGCCTAAAACTCAGTTCATGAAAACCGATATAAAGCCATACAAAATACAGTTGAGAGGAATTGCAATACTATCACCTGAAAACACCCAGAAATGTGTGGGGCTCCCCAAACAGCCTAACCCCCACAGAAGATGCAGGTTTTTCACGGCCTTCCAAAAGGCCAGCAGAGTGGGGGGGGGGGGTCCTGCAGTTCTCCGGAGGGGGGGGAGCGTTCTGCAGACCAGGAGAAGTTGCATCTCCCAGATCCTGCAGAATGGCATTCGTTCACAGGTACAACCTGGTGCATCGCCCTCCACGCTGCTGGATCTCTGGGGTGGGCAGAAACCGTTGGCTGAAAACAGTCTACAGGTTTCTGGCGCTGTGCCACGTGGGACTTCAAAGGTGACAAGCACCTTGAATTCCATCTGGGAGCCTAGTGAGATCCACAGTTAAATGTCTTTGGAGATTCTCCATCATCCAGGTCACATTTGTCCCAAAAGTGCTTTTCCAAAATGCAACTTGACTTTCTTAGGTATTTTTTCCTTGAAAACATTTTGCTTCTGATCCAGGAAGCTTCTTCAGAACTAAAGTCCAGTTGACTTTGGGATAAGATCCATGGTGCTACACAAGTAATACCACTTTACAAGGCCTTGGTAAGGCCACACTTGGAATACGGCATCCAGTTTTGGTCACCACGATGGAAAAAAGATGCTGAGACTCTAGAAAGGGTGCAGAGAAGAGCAACAAAGATGATTAGGGGACTGGAGGCTAAAACATATAAAGAACGGTTGCTGGAATTGGATATGTCTAGTTTAATGAAGAGAAGGACGAGGGGGGCATAATAGCAGTGTTCCAATATCTCAGGGCCTGCCCCAAAGAAGAGGGAGTCAAGCTATTCTCCAAGGTGCCTGAAGACAGGACAAGAAGCAATGGGTGGAAACTAACCAAAGAGAGAAGCAACCTGGAACTAAGGAGGAATTTCCTGACAGGGAGAACAATTAATTAGTGGAATAACCTGCCTCCAGAAATTGTGAATGCTCCAACAATGGAGGCTTTTAAGAAGAGATTGGACAGCTCTTTCTCTGAAATGGTGTAGGGTTTCCTGCCTGAGCAGGGGGTTGGACTAGAAAGGTCCCTTCCAATTTTATTACTATTATTATTAAGTGTCCTGTGGAATGCCTAAAATCCTCTAGGTCAGTGGTTCTCCACCTGTGGGTCGGGACCCCATTTGGGGTCGAACGACCATTTCACGGGGGTCGCCAAACCATGCAGTCCGCCATTTTTTCCCCCTTTTCCTTAGCTGTGCTACTCCCTTTTATTCTATTGGCTTTTGAAAGCCAATAGAATAGACTCTCTTGAATAGAGTCTAATTCTATTGGATTTCAAAAGCCAATAGGAATTGTCCAGGCTGTCTCTGCCCTGCTGAGCCCGCCAAAAGTCCCATTCTGTAAACGGTGCTGCACCAGTTGAGTAGTCCTTGACTTACGATCAGTTGAGTAGTCCTCGACTTACGACCGGTTGGGGGTCGCGGCATTAAAAAGGTTGAGAACCACTGCTCTAGGTTGCCACATTCTGGTCTGTGCTGAGTCCCAAACCATCTTCAAGGGCATACAGAGCCCTTTGCAAAAATCAAATCGTCTAGAGCATGAGCAACCATGAGCAGGGCCACCCAGCCCCAGAA